AGAGGTAGTGGGAAGGCCCAGTGGTCATTGCTCCCTGCCACTCTTGAGGAGGCCATGGGGAGCAAGTGGGAGATGTGTGACACCTGTTTGTCACCTCCTTCTAGCTCTAAGAGTGAAAGGGGAAGGGTTGGAACTTGTTATTTTCTGTCTCAAAAAGAGTTGGAAACTAAAGTCCACTCAAAACCTGCATAAGAATGCTTGTAGCAGCCTGATAGTTGGCAAAAGTTGAAAGCACCAAGGTGTCTTTCAGTATGTGAATGAATAAATGATGTGGTACATCTAGACAGTGGGATTATAAGGCAGTAAAAATACTGTCTGATGCTATATGTGTATAACACATGTCAATAAACATTTATTCAAACTTGCAGAATGTACAGCATCAAGTGAATTCTGATGTAAACTATAGACTTTGAGTGATAATGATGTGTCCAGGTAGGTTCATCAGCTGTACTAAATGTACTGCTCTTCAGAGGGATGTTGATGGAGGGATGCCACATATGAATATGTGAGCTCAGGGGATTTGTGGGGAATTCTTGTCAACCTAAATTTCCTGTCAACCTAAAACTAGTCCAAAGATACTAAGTCTTTATTTAAAAAGTACTAAGTGCTGAAAATAAAATGTTCTCATTTAGAAAGCTTGGAATATTGTGTTAAGTTTATAATTTTCAATTTATAGATTTTGTTGCCATCTTTGAACCATAAGTACATTTTTGTGCAAATTGGCTGGTGAAAAACCTCTTTTTGACCTCATTATAGTTGGAGGAATGGAGAGGAGATAGTTAGAAGCTAAGTTCCTCTTTCGCTAATCCCTTCATCTTCCACTTCAGTGGATAATTTTGAAGATACATTTTTGAATATATGTTTTTGGAAAGCATGGGAAGGACTTTTTTTTTTTTTTACTGATAGTGAGCTATTCTTTTAGAGAAAGTATTTTCTTTAATCATGCCTAAAGCATACTCTGAAGAGGCATTGCCTATGTTTTAATAGTGTCTTCTTAATATCTCACTTATTTTTAAAGTATCTGTCTAGAGTAAGAATATTCTTCAGCTTCTTTTTTTTTGGTACCGGGGATCGAACTCAGGTCCGAGCTTGCGAGGCAGGCGGTGGAACCAACCACTGAGCCAAATCCCCAGCCCAAGTAAGAATATTCTTTCAAAGAGCTTTACATTCTCATTTTCTTCTTGTTTAATATTAAAAGAATAAAATATTTTGAAATTACTGTACTTTTGCTAGATTCAAAATTTTAATGCAGCAAGTACATCTCGGCACATCTCAAGTAGTAAATGATTTGGGTTGCACTGTTTAAATAGTGTATTTTAATAAGGATATCATATAGCCAGGATTCTGAAAACCAGTGTTGCAGTCTGTAATGAAAATTGAAAACTACTTAATGACAAATGATATATAAACAAGGTTAATATATAATTGGAAAGTTTTAAAAGGTACTGGTAAAGTAGGGTTAATACATCTCTATAAAAATCTCTTACACTGACAAGTAAAAGACAAATTATAGGAAAATAATTGAACGGCAGTTTAGAGAAAACAAATCCCAAATGACAACAAGTGTAAGAAAAGATTTGTCATGTTATTTCCAATTAGGAAAATACATATTAAAGAAATGAGATTTTTATTTTATAGCAATCATATTAGCAAAGATTAAAAAGTAATAACACATGAAAATTATGAAACTGAGAGCTTAGAGCTATAGCTATTTAACTTAGAGACATACCCATGAGGCATAATTAAATTAATAAAGCAAAGAAAAGAATATTTCAAAATCTATTATATGTGTATAAAAACATGTATGGAATTATATGATCTTGTACAAAAGTATAGGATAAAATAATTAGGCTGATAATATGGATTAAGGGGTTTAATGTTAGATGCAGGGAAAGTAAGGAGACAAGCAAAAGATGTTATATTCCTTATATGCATTTATCTAGAATGATATATTTATTTATGTAATAAAGCCTTTCTATAAACGTTAATAAGAGATTTACTGTTAACCATGAAGGATGACTTCCACAGAGAGGGAATGTAGCAAATTCCTAAGTTGGAAAGTTGTTGATGTCTGTGGAACACGAACACACACACACACACACATGCGCACACATCCCTGCCAATGTGGCTTAATTGGGTATAAGGCAGATTAATAGAAAATAAGGTCAGATAGGTAAATAGAGAACAGATAATTTCATTTTGTGCTCAGTGAGTTTGGAAATTACTTTCAGTGCAGTGAAAAACCCAACAGTGCTATTAAACCATTTGATTTATGTTTGAAAAATATTTCTTTGACAGTTACTTGGCAAAAGTATTATAAAGTGTTGTAGATGTTAGGAAAGCCAGTGAGATCACTGTGTAAACAATACAGGTGAGAGATGATGCAACTTGATTAAGGTGATAGTAAAGATAGAAGTGGATATAGTTTGTATTTTAGAGGTAAAGCCAACACGATTTGCTGATAGATGGATTATTAACAGAAGAATCAAAGGTAATTCAGCATTTTTGTTTTTGTTATTTGAATGGATGATAGTGCCTTTGCTGAAATGGTGAAATTTATGGAAAGAGTGATTATTTGTTGTTTTTAAATCCATGAAGCTGAATGCAGTCCCAGGTAAAAGCTGGGAGTATAAAAGGGAAGGGAGCCCAAGTCAAAAGTCTGCAAATACTTCAATATGTGGAAGCTTGAGCAGAGGAATAGGAAGTAGCAGTAAAGACTGAGAACAGGTAGTCAGTGAAGCACGTTGTGTCATGAACATCTGGAATAGACTGGTTGAAAAGCAAGAATGTGGTTAATTTTGTCAAATGCTACTGAAGTATAAAGATAAAAACCAAAGTGATCATTGACTTTGATTGCATCAATTAAAGGTCACTGATCGTATTGACAAAAGCAGCCTGGGTGGAATATGAGGAATGGTCATCTGTAATAGGCTACAGAAAGAGTGTGTGGTAAGAAATCACAGACCACTGTAGACATTTCTTCAAACATTTTTGCTCTGAAATAAGAGAGCAAGTAGAAGCGTTGGTTACTAGAGTTAAGGAAATGAGATAGAACACTTTATGTGTTTATGAAACTTGATCTAGTAGAGTGGAAGAAAACCCTCGTGGGGAGAAGCATGCAGTAAGGAATAGGAATAAACATGTCAATAACATCAGAAGCAAGAACAGGGAAAGGTATAGATGAAACAGTTAAGCTGATTTGGTGATGAAAAGAAGAGGTTGTTCATTTGTCTCTGTTTCTTCAATAATTTGAAGCAGGATTATCAGAGTGAAGTTATGGGAGAAAATTTGGGAAATACGTAGTTGACTTGGAAGATGGTCTAATGCACAGAACAATAAGGAATGTCAGGCAACATTGAGTGTTGAGGTATATGGTCACCAGAGATATCAGATATGTGTTTGTATTCCTAGGAATTTTCAGCTACTTGCATTAAAGTAGATGTATAATTGGATATACGTTTAGGGACTCAGTTCCTGTTAGGGATGTGCCCAACAAGTGTGTTAATGAGAGGAGGATAATGTGTTTTTGGAAGGGAATTAAATAGTGATGAAACACCAGAACTAAAGAGAGAAGGAAGCATTTGAGAGTACATACACATTGAACATCTCTAATCCAGAAATTCAAAATCATAATGGACATTTTGCGTACTGACATGATGGCACAAGTGGAAAATTTTATACCTGATCTCACATGATGGGATAACGTCAAACCACGGGTGCACTAAAAATATTGTATAAGATTACCTTCAGGCTATGTATATAAGGTGTATATGAAACCTAAATGAATTATGTGTCTACACCTGGGTCCTGTCTCCAAGATATCTCATTGTATATTCCAAAATCTGAAAAACCCCAACCCAGAAGCACTTTTAATCCCAAGCATTTTGTCAAGGGGTGATCAACCTGTAGTAACATAGGAAAGTAAATAGATTGGAGGATTTGATAAGGTAAAAAAAATTATAGAGAGTTAATACAAAATAGAAGAGCCGGGAAGGAGACAGTAGATTTCATGAAATTGAGATTTTTGGAGGTGATGTGATAATTGGTGATGGCAGAGTTGAAGGTATGCCAATAGGAGTGGGTGATGAACATGTATGGGAGGTTAAAATCATTGGAAGTTGTGAGATAAAAAGAACTGAGAGGCCAAGGAATTTGGCTTTTTTTTTTTTAAACACATGTGCCGATGTCACTAAGAGAAGTAGAGCTGGAAAGAAAAGTCAAGTGATTCTGTATGAGGACGAGTAATTTGGGGCTGTCACTTTTTGCTCACCACAAGGAAGGTAATTAAGTGGTATGATTTAATAGCAGAAACTTCAAAATATCTGAAGTATTTAAGGGGAAGAAAGGAAAAATCATTTGGAAGAGAATAGGAAGTGAGAAGGACTTACCTCTCTTCTAGGGTCCTTTGTAAAAGAGATGTAATATTTTTAAACAAACTGGAAAACATTTTATGCTGTCTATTTGAGAGGACTTCAGCTAGCAGGTTTGAGTTAGAGAAATAGTGTGAGAAAAATTGGAGGATATCAGAAAGTTCGCTGATCCTAGGCTTTGAATTTCAGAATGGGTAGTAGAAAGCTTAGGGTTGGAGGAGAAGCATGTATTTAGTTGTTTAGGGAGTTAAGTCTGGGTGATGCTGGATTACCTGAGGAGGGATGTAGGTTTTTTGATGGTAACAGTTTTAAGCTGAATGATAAGGGATCACTGGCCAACTGTTTTCTTCTGTTTCTTTGCCTTCTTTACTGTAGTCACAACACCAATGAGACAGTACCTTTTTGAAGGAAGGGAGACTTCCCCAAAGAGCCCTTGGACATACAAGATAAATATAGGACTATATTTGTGGCAAAATGGGGAAGAGAAAGGCTCATGTGGAGCATGAGGCTAGGCATCTTTGAAATCTGGCTCAGTATTTATAAGAGGACTCATCCTTAGGTAGCTATATTTTTCAGGTACTACTAATGCTCTTAATAAAAATGTATCTTTTTTCCCCTTTGATTGTCTAGGTTACTTTTACAAAGAGAAAGTTTGGACTGATGAAGAAAGCCTATGAACTTAGTGTGCTCTGTGACTGTGAAATAGCGCTCATCATTTTCAACAGCTCTAACAAATTGTTTCAGTATGCCAGCACTGATATGGACAAAGTTCTTCTCAAGTATACAGAATACAATGAGCCTCATGAAAGCAGAACCAACTCGGATATTGTTGAGGTAACACATATCTAGTAATGCATGAATTGCAAATAATAATTAATCATCCATTTAATAATACTAACTTTTATGTTACTCATCTAAAACGTAAACCAGAGGATAAATGGGTATTTTCTCTGAATTATTTCTTAGAAGGGTCAAAAATTGCTTTATGATGAGCCACTTGTACATATCCTGTTCATTCAAACAAAATACACTGGGCTGTTTAACTATATAAATCTGACATTTAACCAGTATTATCATAACATTTCACCTAGAGTTGCTTACTTTGTGTGAGTTTTTCAGTTAGTATTGTACAAAACTGTATCTTTAGAAACTCACTTTTGGATAGAATGGAGTTATAATTTAATATATTTATCATCTCATGTCAGTGACGACTCTAAACTCCAATGAAAGAGAAGAAAATTATATAAATAATATTTTGTTACTAGTGCTTTAATTGGATGGAGGATGAAATCCTTGCCCCTTTTTTCTCTATTCACTCCCCCTTTAGTATCTCTCCTAGTCCTGACAACCTGATTAAGTGAAAAAGATGAACTTTTCAAGAGTGATTTCATCTGCTCAGTATGTATTTTGAAATAAAACCATCAAAAAGGATAACCAGTGTTCTTTCCCCTTTAGTCTTTATTTCAGAATTTTATAAAAATCTTTTCCATTTTCTCTTTCTCTCTTCCCCTCTTCCTCCCTCCCTCCCTTGTTCATTATTTATTCATTTTTATGGCATTGGGCGTTGAACCCAGAGCCTGGTTTATGCTAGGCAAGTGGTCTACCACTGAGCTACTCTTTCAGCCCATTTAAAACTTGTGAGACAGGGTCTCCATACATTGCCCAGGCTGACCTTGAATTTGTAATCTTATTGCTTCAACCTCCCGAGTACCTGGGATTATAGAAGTGTGCCGCTCTGCCTTGCTCATATTCTATTCACTGTTTCTGATAGCCTTTAAGTTAGCTTCATAGTTACTTTTGTCTTTTTTGTTTACATTTACAAGTTTTGTTACTTTTTTGTTTTTAAAAGAGAGTTTTTCATTTACTTGAGACATATGTACCTTGGCTTGTTTTGAAACATTAAAAAATAATTCATTAAATTAGGCATTTCCTTAGAGAAAATACTGAAACCATGTGAAAATAATGCAAAACCATCTACAAGACAACAAATGGACTCCTAATCTAGATTTTATATTGACTAGTTGAAATTAAGCTAGATAAAGAAACTTTACTATTTTCTTGTATAGTCTAATTCATTTGCCTCCACGGATTATATTACAGTTCTGAAAATGCATTTTAAATTTTTCCTGTATTTCTCGGCCTTAGTGGTTCCTTTTTGAGCAGTGATTTATTAGTGTTTACTATAAAAAAAACTCTGTTGCTTGTATTAAAAGATAACTTTTATTTCTTTGTAGCCATTAATTGTTTCAGATGTAAAAGTATAGCATAATTATGGGTAGGACTCACCTCTGTTACTTGATTTACCCAGCGTTTTTTTTAAGGACTCAATGCTGTGATTCTCCTTTGAAATATATTTGAAGTTTTTGATTTTGCTTTTGTTGATCACTTTGATTAAATTGTATGGCTACAGCTTTAGCTACAATTTTTAATACAGTTATGTTTATGTCATTTGTAAATTGTTTTATCATATTATTTAGTATTTATACTATAATCACTTATTGCAACATGATCTGTATAGTAGACTCCCTGTTACAGTTTACAAATACATTTTATGTTACGATTTTGTAAACGAGAGAATGGTTTAAGTTTTCTGAGAGACTTTATAAATGTATTTTCTTGAAATGGAAAGTATCCCTGCTGTGTTCAAAATGGCTTCTGTTCCTAAACATCTATGTCTTATCAAAGCTCCACAGCCTTAAGTCAAACAAACAAGAGTTGACTTTGCTGATGTCAGCAAATTGATATTCTAGCTGGTATCGTTATAAAGAGCAACCACCTCCCTAACTACTCTGCTCTTTCATTGCAGCAGTTGTTGTTCTTGGCCCTTGGAGGCTGACGGTCCTATACACAACCTAACATTTACTTCCATAGAGAATGTGAAGAATGTAGTCTGGTTTAAGCCACACAGAATTTTCAGACTACCTCAGTCTTCATCTCTGTTGTGGTCACCAATCAGAGTAAGAGAATAAATCCCAGAAATTTTTAGTGGTCTCTTGTATTACAATCTTTCTTTCTTTCAATATGAAAGAAAACTTTTTCATTTCAGTTAGGATTTTGATGTTTTCTTTCTAGTTGTAGTTTATAAATATAAGCTAATAAGAATTTTATCAGTAGTTTTCTATGAAGTTCTACTTTTATATAAAAATGGATAGAAGATGCTTCAGATTATAAGCAGTGAATTTGTTGTGGTAGGATAAACAATAAGGCTTAATTCATGTTTCTTGTATATTAAAGTCTTACTGAGTTAATCATCAGTACAAGACAGTGGTTGTTAAACTTGTAACATAGGCTTCTTTGATATATGAAGATGATATAGCAGTACCTATACATATCTGAGTTCTTTTTACCAGTTGGTGGTAATTGCTCACACTGATGAGTCTGTAAGGATTGTTGTTAATCAGACTAAGTTTATAGGAAAACAGTAACAATAAATACTTGGAAAGAGCTTTCAGTATGCCATGTACATTTTAAGTACTTCTACAAGTATCTTATTGGAGGATATTTTCAGAATATCAGTAAAAGGGTTTTTTTCTTTCCTCATAGTTTCTGTTCCAGCAGTTGTAATTGAAAACATCCTTTTTGATATCCATTTACTCGTTTGCAAATATATTTGAGAAGCTTTCTGTGTGTTGTGGGTTTTGTAAGGGAATGTTATTTAGAGATTTCTAATTCAAGCCATAAGAATAGTCTTTATAGTTTTATAAACCATTGACATACATTTTTACCAACTGAAGACTTCACATAAATAAATGTGTAAGAAGTTGCTCATGAGGTTTGGGACTCCTTAGCTATCTCATGTGACTGAATAAATCAGGAGTAAACAGAAACAAACATTTGTAAGTGATCAACTTCAGAAGGTGTCTTTATGTAATATAGCCAGTAATGACAGTAACCTTCAACAGGCCTCTAACCTAACTTTACTTATGTCCAGTTGCATATATTAGTTTTTAAAATCAATAGGACCTCCCCCCCATATTGCCAAAATGTCCTCTTAGAAACTTGAGCATATTAAATGGAGTCTTCGGTACATGTTCAGGTTAAGCATCCTTGACTTGAAATGCTCTGAAATCTGAAACTTTCTGAGTGCTAACATGACATAAAATGAATAGATTTGGAAAGAATGTATTGATTTCTCTGTTTTTGAGATTCCAGTACTCAGTTCTAGCACAGTGTATTAGTTATCTATTCTATGTAAGAAATTACCACAGAAACTACTGGCTCAGAGCAACACACATTATTGTGTCACTATTTCTGTGGGTCAGAAACCTGAGAGAAGTTTTGCTGGATCCTCTGCTTCAGAGACTATTACAAGGCCACAGTGAAAATATTGCCGTTGATCTTATCTGAAAGCTCATCTGGGAAAGAATCTGCTTTTAAGTTTACTTGCATAGTTTTTGGCAGGTTTCAGTTTCTTTAAGGGTTGTTGTGCGGAGGGTCTCAGTTCCTTGAAGGAGAGTATCCAGAAGCCACTCATATTTTCTTGCCAGTATGGCACACTGCTTCATCAAATACAGCAATAGAGTACAAGCAAAATGAAAGACACATACTTTATGACTTATCTCAGAGGCAACATATCCCATAATTTTTGCTATATTCTGTTTGTTAAAAGCAAATCATTAGGTCCAGCTCACACTAGACTCAGTCCACAGTCATTGCAAAGGAATTAAACAGAGGCTTGAATATCAATATGTGGGGAATTGCCTTTTCAACCACTGCCTACGATGTCTAGCAAAGGTCCAAATATCTGTTGTTATAACTAGCACTATTTGGGTCCCAGGGAAATGTGTCTCCATACCTCTTTAACAAAAAGTTATGGTGAGCAAATGCTGTGAAAATTTGGGCTGTGCTGGTATTGACTAAAAAGGGAACCTTGTTTAGATTACAGAAAGAATTTGAGCAGCATAAGGTACTAAGGAAGAGGAAGGATTTACTGTTGTTGGATTCTTCCTCTTAGTATATGCATGCAATATTTTCTGACATAATGTATCATTTCTAACTAGGACCACAGTTGCGCATGGTGGCTGAGGATCATTTTCCTTACTAAACCGTTCACATTACTCTTGAATTTGGATATATATATATACCTAATAAAACATGCATGACCCATGAAATTACACTGTAACTAGATAGATGTTGAATGTTTAAATTACAAATAGTT